CCTTCTAATGGTTACATTTAGCCGGGATAATTGACCTTCTAATGGTTACATTTAGCCGGGATAATTGACCTTCTAATGGTTACATTTAGCCGGGATAATTGACCTTCTAATGGTTACATTTAGCCGGGATAATTGACCTTCTATCGTTGAATTTTCGTTAGGACTACACACGTATCGTGATGATAAAAAAACATCCCCACCCTCCAATAGAACAATATGCCATCCCGACCCCCGTTAAGTCCTACCCTGGGGGGAGGGCACACCTCACCCCCCCCCCTTCCTAATCTGCCCAGGGTGCCCTGCGCCCCATGAAACAGATTACAAGTTCCGCTGATTTGTTTGGTCTCAGTTACGTCCGTGAGCTTAGTGGATGACCAAAACCGTTAGGCCTGCTTATCTCAGGAAGTATTGACCTATTATGATGGTCAGCCACTCGACCAGTCGCACGATCCGGAGATAAGTATGTTTACTGGCCACTGAGTCGGAGATGAGAAGAGGATAAGGTCCGTTGATGGGGATGACCACCGGATCACAGGAGATTATCAGGAGTGTCAGTGACAGTTGTTGAAAAGAAGATCGGGCTGTTGAGAGATTGCTGTGGTAACGCTTAACTGTATCGTCATTCGAGAAGTTTGTATATTTGTAGATAATAATATTATATTATATAATATGGGAAGTAATTTATTGCTTTGGGGCCTTCGAAAGGATGAATTTAATAGTCTCCCTTGTCGCTTTTGTTTTTTGTTTTTTGTTTTTGTTTTTGTTTTTTGTGTGTGGTCTTTTGTCACATGGCTCACCTTAGAGCCTGAGTAGTTGTCATTGTAGTGTTGTAGTTTCACGTGGCTAACATCCCTACGTGACCTCTGTTATCTGTTTACATGATCTCCTTGAATTTTTGATATTATGGTATCACATGACCCAAAAATATAAATTTATAAATTATTATTTTTTTAATCTGGTAACTCCAGAAGAGAGCTCACATAGTGTAAACAAGGATCTTAAGCTGCATGGGTCACTTTGAAAATGGTGTTCAGTTTGATTAATGCTCAGTTCACACCAGTGCAAAGAGATAACACTAGCGAAATTTCCGTTCCAAGAATGATCCGTCAGACCCCCCCTCGCCCCCAACTCTCTCTCTCTCCCCCTCTCTTTTTCTCCCCCCCCCCTTCCCCTTAACACTACCGAAATTTCCGTTCCAAGAATGATCCGTCAGACCCCCCCCTCGCCCCCAACTCTCTCTCTCTCCCCCTCTCTTTTTCTCCCCCCCCCCTTCCCCTCACCAGTGCGTAGGTTTAAGATATTATGGATATTTTAAACCACGTCTTTCTTATGTCTCATGCTTTTTTTCCCCTTTTATAATAGTTAGTAGGCCTCCATGTTGAATGTTTGAACAAAAAGATCAGGTGCAATTCAATATCGTGTAATATTGCTAATTTAAAAAAAAAAATCAATATTTTTAATCGATTTCTAAATACATTTGGATTTATCCCCATGACATGTTTTCTCTTTTAATTTACTTTAAAGTTTCAACGTTAAATTCTTTGTCAGGTTTATAAGCCAACGCAGTCCGACACGGGCAGCACTTTTTTCTTTATATGGAGGGGCAGGGTTTTCTGACAACAGCAGATATTTTTTTCGAGCACGGAGGTGGCGCTCTTTGATTTAGTCACAGTTTAAAAATAAGCTATATCAAGTATGAGCCACTGTTCTTAAAAATAATAACAGAAAAAAATGGGTTATGTGTGAAGATCTCTTTGAGCATGCGCATAAGTACGCGAGGAACAACCACTTCCGCGTCAATGAATGGGTTCGAGAGTTATAATACACAGTACGAGAACGTGTTTCAGTGAGTGTCGCCGGCTGTCGGCTACTGTTAATCATCTGAGACATTTCGGAAAAGTTAAAATAAACGATATGGCATATACTGCAATAGAAAGAGGTTCCCTGAACACTGGAAACTACCGAGTTTTTTTCAGTAAGTGTATTTTCTTGAAGCTTTATTAATTGCCCGTGTAAAAAAAAAAAAAGTTAAAAATAGGCTTACTAAAAACTTCGACCTACTTTCGTAACCCTAAATTAACTACTGACTACTGATTGGCAACAAAAAGACACGGTTAGTTAATTTGCATTGGATGCTCAACCTAATAATTAAACTTTAAATTTGAGTAAATCAATAGCAACTTGTCACTTAAATAATTACTAAATAAATAGTAATGTTAAGTTGGGTAAGCCTACAAATACTACCACACATTTCAATAAATATAAATTATAATTATTATACCAACCGACCAACACTTCCACTTCCAATTTTACTAAATTTTAATATATAAAAGTAAAAGATCCATACCAATTTTTTTATTATTACCGGTAGGCAACAATCTTGTACCCCAATGAAATGATTGTTTAACTACTATTTTTACTTAGTCTCCACCTCCTACAAATAAAATCAAAGTTTAAATTTAAATATTATATTTTTAAACATTTCTTCATTGACATTTTCATCATTGGTCTGTCTTTTGTTCTTAATTTTTGTACTTTTTATCATAATCATGTTATTCATGTTTTGGCCTAATTTAAATTACAATGTAACTATGGACATGGATAAGTCACAAGTCAATTTTCTTATTCTAAGTCTGCAGCTCTTTGCAATTAATATTAAATAAATAAAATAGAAGTAGAAATCATTTTCAATTAAATTATAATAAATTGAAATTAAAAGCTGAAAATCCACCTCTGGACACCCCCCCCCCCCCCCCCCCCCCCAAAGGTTGGGAAACCCTCTAACTTCTGAGTAGGCCTTTTAATTTTAATTTAAAGTCTTTAAGTTAAGTGCATGGCCCAGGCACTATGTATAAATAATAAAATCATTAAAATGTAAGCTAGGCCTATTATACTTGGTCTTGGTAAATTAATAGTACTTAATTGGTCTGTTGATTAGCCTATATTTTAATTATTTAGTACTATGGTATTTAATGCTGGTTGGATAGAATTTAACTAGTGTAATGCTTTTCTTAAGGTTAAAATATTATATGAACTGTTTTCATTAGTACGGACTGTACAGACCTGGTTTTTGGACATTTGTCCTTGTTAGTCATAAAAGTGTATTTGGACACACATGGTGATAAAACTGTTTAAATTTTTTTTAAAAAATGGTCATCTTATGGAATTGTGGTTGACCAAGGCAAAAATAGTATGTATTAGACTTGGCCACATGCCTTGTAAATGATTTGATCATTGAGTTTATGAATAATTTGATGATTATGGCCCACTGATTATTTTCATGCCTTAATTTAAGGCTTAAGCATATAAGCATTATATTACTGACTACTTAATATTTTTGGATGTTAAAGGAAAGTAGGGCCTAGACTATACTATAGGCTATAGTGTAATTTAAAAAGCAAAACACAAAACTGTCAACCAGTAGTATGGTATTTTTAGAGCTCTAACATTCATTCTTTTGATATTGGTAGGAATTTATTTAAAAAGAGAGAGGATGTAAGAAAGAGCTTTAAAAAACCCCCAAAAAACACTTAAATACAATAATATTATTACATTTTAATGTGCTGTGTGTTTTAAATATTTTAATTTCGGTTTTGTTCTTACTTTATCATGATATGGGTCTATATTTCCTGTTACCATTCACAGAAAATTCTGATGGAATTCCTATATCACCATTCCATGATATTCCTCTTTTGGCTGATGCCCAGAACAATATTTTCAACATGGTTGTGGAGATTCCCCGATGGACTAATGCCAAAATGGAGGTGATATTTTCTGACTAAAATTTTTTTTTTTTTAATGTTTGGATTTACAAACATATGCAACATGTACAACTTGTACAACTATTTTCTGAATTTAAATGTCTATTCACTGTCATCCTCAACTGAAATTTCCCAATTTGAAAATCTGGTACTTTGTAGTTAAAATATGTCTGATACATTTTTCATAGGGTTGCTTACATAACTAATGCTTCGACTTGCAGTTTTAAAATATCATGTGCTAATTCCAGAAAGATGCTTCTTGGAAACTAATTCTTTTCTTATCTAAATGCATAGGCTCCTATCTGTTTTATTTCTTGTTGTTGTAATTGAGATCATGAGGAATCCATTGCAATAGAAACATTGTCATAAATTTAATGAATAGAAAACATAACATCATCCAGTTGCAATCAAGCTCTTTGTGTGTTGTAACAGGCTGCAATAACTTGTATAGTTTTACAGAAACAAATGTATACACTATGATTTCCCAAAAGATCAGTTTCCTGGAAACTATAAACAATGAATGAGGTGTAGTTTCCTGGAAACTATTGACAATGTATGAGGTATAGTTTCCATGAACTGTCAGCACAGCAAAAAAGTGCCATGTTTGTTCACTAAATGTTTGTGTACATTGGTCAAGTCAAATTGACAATAAATAAATGATCTTTGCTTTCCCTGAGAATAATTGAGAGTCCACCATATACAGAATAGTGCCCAAAAAGATACAACTAAATGTGAAAGTTGTCCAGCATGGAGGTGAATGAAACACTGACTGGGATTGGCTTAATCTCTTAGACTTTGACCTAACATTTTTTATTTCCCCTGGTCGTAATCCACCTTTCTTATTGGAGGCTGCTCACTGCTACCCAGATAGTACTCCAAACCTCTCCACTAACTGCACATTTCCCCGTTTAAACAGTTGGATATATGGGAAGCATGCTTCCAAATTTATTCCAAACCTTACCGTCACACTTAACCTCTTTCTTGCCACAATTATTTGAATTGGAACCGAATTTTAGCTCGTCCAGTTAAAGTATCTGAGCGAATAAATGTAACAAATTGTCAGAGTATCTGGTAATGTACAGCTAGAGGCACTATGAGGTTTTAACAAATTTAATCCGTTTGAAAATGGCCAGTTAACAAACAGTTCATAACAAAGCGACCATACCCGAAACTATTGCAAATAACAAGTAACAATTTATTTATAAAATTCTGATATAAAGTACAAAATCAAATATATAGAAATAACTAACTTACAGCACGTAAATATGTATAATGGAAATGTAACAATATAAATCCACACACAGAGGGAAAAACTTATAAGTGTAATAGGTCTCTTTGTAGCTCTGGTACATCTCAGTTGACAGTCTTATTTTTTAGTCTATAAGGGCAGGCAAGTTTATCTCTATTTCGAACTAGAACCTTCTAGTGAGTTCAAGAGTAAACAGGGGTTAGAATGATGAATAGCTTAATACGTTATTGTTATGGAAGCATTGACCTAAATGGCTTTGATAAACAAAATATTTTTAAGCTTTGTATTAACACACTGAACAATTTGATCTACACACTGAACACTTTGATCTACACAATTAACACTTTGGTCACACAGTGAACACTTTGATATGGTTTCTTTTTCTCCTTTTGTCCTTAAACTTTCCACCTGGTTTTAAAAAAATGTTCAACAACCCCAAATTATCATGAGGTGAACCATTTTCATTAATTTGTGTGATTATAATTAAAGTTAAAGATTAGTATTTAAGTAACCATGTAATTTTGAACCCAAGTGCTAAAACCAGTTTTTTTTTTCATCGATTAACATCGTGTGTTTTCAGCTAAGTCATCATCTCTAAGTTTAGCTGGATTCAATTATGGATACTTAATTCCAGAAACTTATCTGAAGTAAAATCTTTTTTGAAAAACATTCATCTCGTAAAATTTTGTCTATCAATGAATCTGAGCGCTCGAAGCATTAAAGCAAGGGACACTACTGTCTTATTAACCAACATTTTTTTTTTTAAATTACTGTTATGTTATTCAACGTATTTGTTAAATGATACCATATGGGTTCAGAATTATTGTTGCTTTAACAAAATCAGTAAGAAATCATATAAACTTGTTTTGAAAATTATGTAGACGTGAAGACGTGTGTTAATTTTACCAGACCAAAAGATTGAAACAAAAATTAAAGTATGTTTCAATCAAATCGGTGCATCAAGATTTCCATCTGCTTCGATGTGAAGGTCCCTTATGGGGAATTTTTGAAATGACGCAATCTAGACAAATCTGTGTTCACCAGACGCCAACGTGTAACACGTTGTCCCATATTCACTCGGGGCATAATCGATGTCCAAATTCTGTCGGCTTTATAATCGTAGACATAACATAAATTCAATAGAAGAATTTAAATGTCTCGATCGATTTCCAAAATCTGCCTGCTCTATAATCGTGTGCATAACGTTTTTAAGTAAACCATTCAATATAAGTATTTAAATATCTCCTAGAAATGACCAGTGGCCATAGTTTATTAGTAACAATCGATTTAAAACAATTTGAGATTATTTTACCGGCCTTTCTCGTCAGTAAGCATGTGTCTACATGTTGTTTGTATTATAATAAACGGAAATTAAAATTGTTCCCAGCTGTGCTATTCGGGCTCACGTATCGATTATGTGGTGATTTGAAGCAACGCTTTTAGTCCACTGTCCAGAGCGTAGGACGTATTTTAAAAAGTCTAGTTGTGTTCATAGACAAGAACTTGTGATGACGTAATCTGGATACTGCCCACTTTTCCTTATTACGGCACACAAAACCGTTGCACTATTACCTTGCCTCCGATCCTTTCGATCGATCATTCTCACCGTCATCCAACTTGGCGTCAACTAGGTGGTGGTAAGTGCTGATTCAAGATCTTAAGGACATATCTTGAATCTGAGTAAATGACACGTTAGATCTACGTGATTCGGCTGCCCCCACCTCTGCAGTGTGCAGTGCATACTTTTTAGTGCCATGTGAATAGTTTCTTCCTCCGCATCGAAGTTCGATGCCGCAGTCCCATAGGGCCATGAAAGCTTCTCATTTGGTGGCCCTCCAGTTGGGTATAGGATGAGCACACCGTACCCTGCATCTTTCTCTTCGTGTTTGGGCGATCCGTCCGTGAAAACGTTCACTAGGGTTTCCACAAACCCTTCTATGGCCCCAAGGGCAGCCGCTTTTTGAACAAGTGCAGGGCTGCAATTCGTCACTGCTGTGTCGGTCAAAGCCAAACGTATATTGGGACGTGTAGGCTCCGTGTCTGCGGAGTTCGATCGTCCTTTCAAGTGCTATAACTTGGTGAATAAAGGGGGATATTTTCAGTTGACTCCCGGCTCCGTTATTCTGGACTTTAAAGCATCCTTCTTTTTCATTTAACCTCATGTACCGTTCTACGGTGGTTAATATCGCCTTGTCCCTAGTTATGTCTAGTGGTTCTACGGTGGTTAATATCGCCTTGTCCCTAGTTATGTCTAGTGGTTCTACGGTGGTTAATATCGCCTTGTCCCTAGTTATGTCTAGTGGTTCTACGGTGGTTAATATCGCCTTGTCCCTAGTTATGTCTAGTGGTTCTACGGTGGTTATCACACCCACAGCAGCCGTGGATGTGGGTTTAAATGCACCACAGAAGAATCTCATAGTTTGATTCTGGATCTGGCCCAATTTTTCTAATCCAGGTAACCTTTTCACCAGTTTGAGCTTGGTGGTCGCCTGGGAATTCAAGTCTTGTACACAATTATGCATTTGTACCTTTCGATCTAGTTTGACTCCCAGGTAGACCTGTTGCACTCCCAGGTAGACTTTTTGCACTCCCAGGTAGACCTGTCGCACTCCCAGGTAGACCTGTCGCGTGTCCCATGATAACGCTACGTTGTTCACCTTCAGCTCGATCACATGTTTAAGAATGGCACGACCGTTGGTCAAATGCCAATAGACCGTCTTCTCGATTTTCATTTCCATCTTCCACCACCGCATGCACCCACTGATAGCTGAGAGGTCACGCTAGAGTAGCTCTTGCAGTCGGTTGGCATCCTTACCGGTGCTCCCGATGACCAAGTCGTCCCCATACCGTGACTACTTGTTGTTTCTGCATAAGACAGTTCATTCAGTGCAGGTCGTACTGAGCAGATGATTGATGCAAGTGTTTAGAGAAGGTTAAAGTAAGGCTAACGTGACGTTCAGGGAGGGTTATAGTGAGGCTAGCGTGACGTTCAGAGAGGGTTATAGTGAGGCTAGCGTGACGTTCAGGGAGGGTTATAGTGAGGCTAGCGTGACGTTTAGGGAGGGTTATAGTGAGGCTAGCGTGACGTTCAGAGAGGGTTATAGTGAGGCTAGCGTGACGTTCAGAGAGGGTTTTAGTGAGGCTAGCGTGACGTTCAGGGAGGGTTATAGTGAGGCTAGCGTGACGTTCAGAGAGGGTTTTAGTGAGGCTAGCGTGACGTTCAGGGAGGGTTATACTGAGGCTAGCGTCATGTTCAGCGAGGGTTATAGTGAGGCTAGCGTGGCGGGGGGTGTACGGCTCGGTCCACCCGGAAACCTTACTTACTGTTAAAGTCTTTCTTTATACTTAGTCCGGCACACATGTCAGTTTGTGGCAAAATTTTGGTTACGCTCGGTTGGTTCTTGACATCGTCTGTCTCATGACATCGTCTGTCCTGAAAGGTCGGCTGAGTTGACACGTAGTTAGAGCTCCCGAACTGATGTCCAGGATTGCGCAGACTACAACAGCACTAAAAAAGCTCAAGAAAATATAGAATGACAAAAATATCGCCCCCAACACCAAAATCAGACTGATGTGCTCATTAGTCCTCTCCCTTTTCCTATATGCCTGCGAATCCTGGACATTAACAGCCGATCTTGAAAGGAAAATAAAGGCGATGAGAAGCATTTCAGAAGCATTTTTGGCATCTGCTATAGGGACCATATCTCCAATGATACAGTGAAAGAAAGGGTTCGTCAGGCAATTGGGGAGTAGGATGACCTATTGGTGACTGTGAAAACGCAAATTACAATGGTACGGCCACGTAACAAGGAAACAAGGGCTTTCCAAAGAAATATTGCAGTGCACCACAAGAGGAGGGAGAAGACAAAGAAAAAGATGAGAGGATAACATCAAAGAGTGGACAGGACTAACACTGGGCGATGCAGTGCTTAGTGCTGAAGACAGAGAGGAATGGAGGAGGATGGTTCACATGTCATCTGTGGCGCCCCAACGGTCCAAGGACTAAGGGACATGAGGATACAGCTCCCGTGTGCTGCGTCGAGGGCGGGGGGGGGGGTGGATTAGAAAAGGTGATTTATAAAAACAACCACCCCCACCCCTTCAGCTTACAATGTCCAAGGACTAAGGGACATGAGGATACAGCTCCCGTGTGCTGCGTCGAGGGCGGGGGGGGGGGGGTGGTTTAGAAAAGGGGATTTATAAAAACAACCACCCCCACCCCTTCAGCTTACAATAACCTAGGACCTAACTAAAAGGTATAGCAGAAATTTCAGGTGTCCTGATTGTGACCAGGTTATTCCTTATCACAATTTGTCACCATAACGACAGTTAGCTTGAACAGGCTACCACCAGGGCTGAATAATTTTAGTAAGCAATTTTATGATATAGTGCTGCTTATAGTGACTGTAGCTTAGTTAAAAGCTTTGGTCTAAACATTCACAATTTTTGTATTGTTACTTGTGACTTATCTTTGAACCATCTCAAATATCTTGCTGATATCAAATCAACTGAATTTAAAGTTTAAATAATGCATTTTGAATATCAATTTAAATCATTACCCTGGCTGTAGTCTTGTAAAATAACATTTAAAACACAAAAGCAAAGACCAAAAAGAAAACTGTATTATAAGACAAAGCTTTGCCAGTTATAATTTTAACATATTCCGACATGCTTTTTTTTCTCATGACTTTTTTTTTGTCAGCTAATAAATGAAAACATAAAATTTTTATTCTGTGTTAAAGTTATATTGATTTTATTTGACTTGTCAGATCAATAAAGAAGAGAAATTGAATCCACTCAAGCAAGATGTGAAAAATGGAAATTTAAGATATGTAAAAAATGTCTTCCCTCATCATGGTTACATATGGAACTATGGCGCCTTACCACAGGTAGGAGGAATATAGGGTATACATTAGTACAGGGTTTTCCAACCTTTTATTATTTTTTTTGTATGGCCTGAAAATGTTTTGACTAGGTCTCAAGCCCTCTACAAATTTTTACTAGGTCTCACCCCCTAAAGGGTTAAAATACATTTTAAAATTGGAAAAAATGTACCTCAAATTTATGCCATAAGGTGAAATATTAATAAAAAAAAATAAATGTATATCCTAAAGTAACTCTAATGATCTTCTGCTTGAGCACCCTACGTTGCAAAACCTTGCCATTGTTGACATTTTCATCAACTTATAATAAAAATTTTGGTACACCCAGGTACGAATTCAGGTCAGAGCTTGTTACACACCAATAATCTAAAGCCATAACGTCTCATGGCTCACTCAAAGTCCTTACTCCAAACCATATCTTCACATACCCGGAATTGTGCGTCACTAATTGAAAGGTGTCTCTCCCAAGCATTTCAGAATTTCCTTAGTAATTTTCCTAAAGTTTCTAAATCAGCTGTTGATTGGCTTTGGGATAGTAAATGTACAAATAAACACTTGGGATAGTAAATGTACAAATAAACACTTTGGGATAGTAAATGTACAAATAAACACTTTGGGATAGTTAATGTACAAATAAACACTTTGGGATAGTTAATGTACAAATAAACATGCAAATTTATTTGTAATATTAATATATACCATTTAATTGTAGAGCATGTATATTAAAATAAGCTATTGTAAATTTTTTAGCTAGCACATGGTAAATTTAACAGTGCAGCCAATTTAAATGACACTACATAAATGCTAGCCTACTAGCAGTCACTATCTGTAATGATAAAGTACTTTGGTAAGCATAGGTTTGTACACATTTGTATTTAAACATATGTTCAATACATATTGCTGGGAGAAGTTGTGTAGAAGTGACAGGCAGTGATTTGGGAGGTGGAGGGAAATGGTGTCATTCAAGATAGGTAGTTTGGGTAAAACTGTATATTATTAGATTGAATGGCTTCAGTATTGTTTGTCATCAATATAAAAGGAAATATAACTATATATATACACACACAGAAATAATGTACACTGAAGACATTTTTCCACTGCATGTCTCATATCTTTCTAGGCCAATGTCATTCCTCCTATCTTTTAACTTCTTTAACTCTGTTACCCTTCATAACAAGCTGGGTGGCTAAACATTAGGCTGCTGTTAATTTACTGAGATTGAAAGATTAGTTGAATAGAGCAGTCTTTTCAACTGATGAATTGCATGTAATTGAAATGGCAGGAGTTAAATCCCCATGGTAATGGTGGTTGTCATGGTAGGTCATGCCTGCTAATTGCATCTGAACTTGAGAGCAATTTAAGGTCATGGAAATGTTGAGGACTGGGGAGGTTAGTCCAATTACTAAAGGCATTGATTTATTGCTGAGCCTTTGAAATTCAACTCTCTCTTCCCTAGCATGTGTAGCATACAAACCCAATGTTTTTAATGAATTTTAAATGCAAATTTATATTTTGACTGCTTGAGTTTTTGCCCTGTTCTGTTTAGTATTTTGAATGACCACCATCCTTCACATTTTTCTTCGATGCTTATTCCATTCATTTTCTACTCAACTTCAAAATTATAAACATCTTTGAGATTGAGGACCCAAATGGTGGTCCAGCCTTATGTTGCCTGTCCGTATGACATAAGTCAAGAAACTGGGCGGGATTGTATGTTTGAGTCTTGTTCCAAAACAAACTCAACCTGAAATCATGCGCTGTAAATTGGAAGTTTTAAAATTCATTTTAGGGACATTTTTCTCTTCAAAATTTGCATATGACATACAAACCTTATGTGAAACAACCTTAAATTGGGAGGGGGATGAGAGTATGTTTAATCCAATCTAGGACCTAGACTCTTGCTTTTTAAAATTCAAAACTGCCTTAACAAAACAAAAAAAAGAAGCTCTTCAACGTTGCTAGCATTAAATGGTAATAGCGGTTAGAATCCTATCCAAATGGCTGATTATGAATATGGTTTAACAAATTTTGTTTGCTCATATTTCAAGTCAATTAAAAAAAAAATCTGGCACCCATCCCTGGTACATTGGTAAACTTGTCCACTGGTCCGCACTGCTAACAGTTTGAAAAACGCTGGTTTATAAGAGCTATTGTGAGTTGTTAAAGTTCCAGAAGAGATTTTAAATGGTTTTTGTTTTTACAGGAATAAAAAATATTTCTAGCAACACAATGTATTTTAGTAACAGTATATGACAAGACCAACATCTCCTGTTTGTGTCCCATATTTCAGACATATGAGGACCCGGCTCATGTAACACCAGACACTGGAGCTAAAGGAGACTCAGACCCCATTGATGTTTGTGAAATTGGTCACAAGGTAAAAGACGAAATACTTTCTTCCCCCTTAATTTCTGGTGAACCCATAAATCAGGCATTGGAGAAATGTAACAGCATTTGAGAAAAATGTGTTCTTTAAAGTTGTGAGAGGAAAATATATATTTATTTTTTTTTAGAAAAACTAAATTTAAAAAAATTTAAAAACTCTTAATTTCTCATCAATACTTAAAGCAACTTATTAAAATACGTTTTATTTATAACGCAAAAATAACATCAATAATTAAGAATCATTTGAATGAGTTTCCGGTTCCTATCTTTCTTTTTAAAAAAAAATTCATTTTAAAATTGATCGGTAGTCAACACATTTCACAGCAGGGTGCTTAAGAAAAATTACTCAAGCCAATACATTAGTTGTGATATGTTTTTCAGATTCATTCCAGGGGGTCAGTTGTTCCAGTCAAAGTTCTAGGAGTCATGTGCCTTATAGATGAGGGTAAGTTAAAGGCGCTACACAACTCATTTGTTCTGGTAGTGTGTCTGTAGGTAGGAATAGCTGAATAATGCATGATAACTTTGGCAAGTCATTTATTGTTATGACGCATGTCAAAGTAATCATGACACATTTATTCAACGGACTGTCGATTTTTTTATTTTATATTCATACTATAAGAAAAAAATGTATACATATATTTTGAGCAAAGACTGATTTGGGTGGTTAGTGGGGCTGGGGGAAGGGGGTGGGGTGAACATTTTATTTGTGGACAAATACAGATTTCATGTTGAAAAGGTTTTAAAAACTAATCAGTGTATAGTGTCATTGTATCATCCATGGGTGTGAACGCTAGTATTCACATTGTTTTAATTGTTCAAAAACTTTAGTCATCATCTATTTACATTTGGCAGAGCATTTAATATTTTAAATGATGAAGTTATTACAGGCATGCTCAAACATGGAACAGACATTTAGAATTCTTTTGACATATTATGTTCCAGGTGAAACTGACTGGAAAGTTCTAGCTATTGATGCCACAGATCCTCTAGCTCTTAAACTCAATGGTCAGTTCAAATAGTCCACTGTTTTATTTAAACAAACCCAGATGATAAGACAATAAGAACCTGCTGTAATTAACCGATAGACATACTCTGTTCATGATATATTTGTACTAGATGTGCGCATTAAATATTCATCATTAGAGTAGGTAAACTGAATTAATAAACAAAATTGTTTAAATCTTGAACATTTTTTTGCCACCTATAAAAGTGCCATTTTCATAAGCTTATACCTGTGAAAGTGAATCACTTAAACTCACTCACTTACGCTCAACACACACCTACATATCTAGGGAACAGACTCAATTTTTTTCAAAGGTAAAAATAAATTCATCAAATTTTATTGTAATGAAAATGGCGTTTCCTCACATTTTGATAAAACAAAAAATGGAGGTAAACGCAAATGTGTAAATTTTTTTAAAAATCATTAAAAATTAACTGATAACAAAGCGTACATCATAACTCTATCAAAATGTAGGTGAACTAAAGCTCTATGTACAGCCTCTGTAACTATAACTATGTATATTTAAAATACAAATATGATTTTAAAAATTGCAGGGTTTCACATGAAGCTGAAAATCAGTCATTAAAAACAATATGCAAAAATCAATAGTTCTACCCACAGTCAAGCTAATTATATCAAAATACAGAGTAACTACAGCTTGACATATTTAAAGAGTCCATGCGCCCATTACTTATTTATATATAATACAAGCATGGCTGGAAAAGTGCAAGGGTTCACATCCAGGGAAAAGTTATATTTTCACAAATGTTTTTAAAAAATGTAGCAATTACCCGGCACTAATATTACAGCTTCAAATAAAACTATATAGATATCTAGAATAACTGAGGCTAAACAGTCAGTGTGCCTGTAACATTTATTTATACATACTAGACACAAAACATTTTGCACCCCCAACAAATCAACTTTTAGAAAATAACTAAAATTGTCCTGCATTTTATAAAAAGTATTTTAACACGCCTTGATTAGAAAAACTCCTGCTCCATGAGCTGGTCTAACAGAACTGAAAAATCTGAATATTCTTTTTTGAAAGAATTTGGATAATTTTTGGATTTGGAGAATTTAGTAATTACAAAAGATGATAGGGTAGGGCTTATGCAATTTAAAACCTTGATCCAATTTACATAATCCAATGTTGAAAGGGTACTACTAACTTTTCCCACTCACTTTTGAATGTATAATTTGTACATTTTTAACTTAGAGCCAAGATTTTTTTGTTTAAAAAGGGCCTGCTGTAATTACTATTGTTATTTAAAGATAGTCATTGCGGCACATACATTAGTTATGGACAATGAAGTATTTTTTTTGTTTTGGTTACAGATGTTTCTGATATTGAAACCCACTGCCCTGGTCTAATTAGGGTAAGTTCTTGTTATTCAAGACAACTTGTTTTGATTAAATGCATAATATACCCCCTTCAAAGGTGGCCCAAATGCTACCTGGTAACCCCCTTGTCTCTTTTTTTTTTCCACCATTGCCATTTAAATATATGCTTGTTACAGCAATAATTCATTGTATAGAGATTCACCATGATATCAGTACAGCAAACTGAGATTCACTATGATATTAGTACAGCAACTGAGATTCATTACGTTTTGTCCCTATTTGGTTATAACTGAAAACCTTTTTTTTTTAATCATTTCACTTTGTTTTCTAAATCAGTGCATCTTTTAAAAACTTTACCCATTCCTGAATGCATTTAATTATTGGTCTGATATAGTTAATATTTCAAGTCCAAATGAAACAAATAATGCTAATAATTAAAATACAGACCTACAGTACTCCTCTTTGGTGAGGCCTCAGATTACATAAATGTGGGCAGCCTAATGAGCACTGGGTATTGTTCTATGGATCCTTGATTATTTGTTTAGTTCTATGGGGAATGGAGTATTGGCAGATACATTCCTGTTTTTTTCTTAATCTCTATCTGTATTGCCTGCAACATGAAGCTATATAAAAATAATAATTGCTTTGAAAAGATCTTTTTAAATTTATGTTTCATGCAAGCAAATTTCTTTTAAAAATCTAATTAATTTTTTAATGGACTTCTTTGACTTCTTTCAGGCCACCTATGAATGGTTTAGATATTACAAGGTTCCAGATGGCAAGCCTGAAAATCAATTTGCTTTTAATGGAGAAGCAAAGAATAGGGTATGTTGTATAGTTGGTGCAACTGATTGAGTATGATTGTTACATACTGTGCTGGTGGGAATGGGGTTTGAGTATGTACAACCTTTTGGAGGCGGCCGCTGCTATTTTAAGCTCATTTGTATACATGTGAAACGAGTCAAATGAAAGCAATAAAAAAAAACATTTTGGCTGAACCCACTAGTTCCACTTTTCATCTGCCCAAATTCATACACACACACTTCTTACTGCCTTTCATGGCATTGCTTGTTACAGTAGTATGCCCATTCAGGGTGCCTGGAATACTAACTCCAATTCAGCATGACTTCTAAAGTTTACTTCTATTCTTGCAAGAACATAATTCGACTTTTTACAGAAATCCTAATATATTTTTCTTATTTGGTTAAAAATTTATGTGAGTTCTCCATGGCTTTCCAAGCTCATTTAACTTCTCTAAATAACTAGATTTTTGTTATTGTGATTTTCAAAATTTCATTAATTAAAAAAATATTTTTTTTTTTAAAAATAGTTTTTTCTTCAAAATATGTACTTATCCAATTGTTATGCCCCTTTAATTAGCCATGAGACGTTAACATCAAAAGTAGTGTAGAGAGACTTAAAGTCTTCACCATCATACTATATCCAAAAATATGTATTAGACCCTTTAATTACCACAGGATAATCTTACAATGATACTAGCCTATTAACATATCTGAATTAGCCAGTGCATTTTTGACAGTGATGTTTCGAAAATAAAGTCATTGTTAAAGATAACTGGTTACCCTACTAATAATGAACTTAGCCAATCATGTCGATAAATGTGATAACATCCTGAAAATAATTCAAATAAAACTAGATGACAGGACATAGTAAGTAGTGTAGCTAGTTTTGAACCACCTTGGCTCGTCCTTGAGTTTTATGATCTTTCTTCTGATAGACAAAAAGCCATTCCACATCAAACTTGTCCACCTGCAGATCAAGGGGGACAATATCAAGTAGACTGTCAAGTTCATCCTTTTTGTGTTAGTCAACCAGAGACCCTGAGAGACCTGTTCAGTGGTCACAGTCACACTTGTAACTTTTGTAAAATGCCTATTGAGAGACCAGTATCTTATCACAAAGAAAGCAAATGAAACTGAAGCGTTGTGATTTCTTACAACTGACCATTTTAGTCGTGTACTGCTCTCAAACTTTGTTTCTTTTAGGATTGGACGTTTTGGAAGTTCCAATAATTGCCCTTTGTTTTGGAGCTAGACTAAGTGCAAGTTCAAATAATTCCCTTGTTTTGGAGCTAGACTAAGTGCAAGTTCCAACAGGAATTTTAATTATTGCCCTTTTTTAATTTAAAATTAAAACCTCAAATTATTTAAGTAAAAAAAATTATACCACACCTGAATGTGTTCTGTATCCATCTGAATGTGTTCTGTATCCATCTGAATGCGTTCTGTATCCATCTGGATGTGTTCTATATCCACCTGAATGTGTTCTATATCTAGGATTATGCACTGCAAGTTATTCAAGAAACCCATGAGCAGTGGAGTGGCCTTGTCAGTGGTGATGGCACTTCTCCTTTATCAAGGTAAGTTTATGCTGTTCTGTTAACTGCCAAGTGAGTCTCAGATCCTGCAATATTCCAGAAAACCAAAAGAGATGCCCTTTCCCAACAGTTCACTTGTCATGAACTATCCCAGACAGATACCGGGTATCACTGATACCTACATAAGATATACAAAGTTCCTTTAAGTCACTGAATTAAATATTATTGATCTAGAAATTACATACAATGTAACATTATTAAAATTATGCTTAAGAACCAAAATGTGCATTTTTTCCATGTTAGCTTGAGTGTCAGTAGTGTCACTATTTGTTGAATGTTATTTTAGAGTGAACACTGCTGTAACAAACAGCCCACACAAGATTGAAAAGGATGAAGCTCAGCAGATTCTTGAAACTGTAAGTTTACACATTCATTCTTGATACTGAAAAAGTCTCAACCATCTTGTATGGAATTTGGTAATTCACTTCATTTATAATTGTTCTCACCACTTAATGACCATTACACCAAACTGGTTTCCAATGTCAGTGTCACAGGTTCCCTGTGTCACCAGATCCAATGATTGAATTCACATCTACAAATGAAATATTGATACATATCCCATCACACCTTTTACATGTAACTCATTTGCTTCTGATTTTGGAAAACTCTCAAGAGGCTAATACTATTTTCAATTCCTGTTACTATTAGGAACTTAAAATAATCAGGACCTTGTTCTTCCCTTTGTTTGTTTGACCTATTGGGCATACTTATATAAAGATTAAACTTAACTTGTCACATCCATTTGAAGTATTTTCATTTAATAAAACTCTCGGCCAACTAGCCAATAGTACAACCCTGACTTAATCGATAATACACAATCCTAATTGAATCTTAGAAATTTACTAGTAAATTGAGGAAAACAATATCACTTTGTAAATTCCTATGATTTATAATTTACATGGATCAGTTTTGGTGCTCCATTTAAAAAAAAAAATCAAGGTTTAATGGTTTGATTTGGATCTTATTTTTTTTTTTTCAGTCTGCTGCACCAGGACCTGCAGCAGAGATTAGTCAAAAAGGTATGTGGTCAATTGATTCTTTTACTGGCCTATGGGTATCTTGGTTTCTCTGGGGCATAGTTTTGGAGGTTTTAGTTTTATCAACTGACGAACTACTTGTTTACCGAAGTGACCTCCCAGTTCCAGCTGCTTCACAACAAGCCAGACACTATTTTAAAAAATTAAGTTGTCGGAACTATTGATACCATTATAAATTGGTTGGAGTGCATCACTTATTTTAATTTTAATAAACTTAATAGCTTTCCAATTTGAGCAGTGGATCTGGAAATTTATTTTATCCATAGGACCTTAATTGCTGTAATGGGTTGCAATCCGGGATCCCGAATATCAAAAATACCGGGCCATAACGATGCTTGAAAAAAACTGGATTGTTTTCTCTGACACTGGATGAATCAAATAGTTAGGGAAATTGTTGCTTTATGAACATAAACATTCATAGCCCTATGTTAACCAGTGAATTTGTAAATCTTGGCCCAGTAAGAGTGATTGGCAGCATGTCGGCCAGAACTTGTTTACAAGTGTTGGTAAACAGGCTACCTGCTTTTGAATTGTTATTGAAAGATGATAAAGTCTGCATAACTCCTGACGTTGCTAGTGTGACATCAACCTGTAGAAAGCGATTCTGATGATTCTGACTGATGATGATCGTGACAAATTTGACTAAAACTTAAATCAAAATAATGAATTCATTTTCAAAGATTTAATCGGGAAAGTGCAAGAAATTGCAACAATTTTCAGAGAGTCGCCTAGCAAAAGTACGATTCTCCAGACATATGGAAGAAATTGGTTGCAGCTTAATTTAATTTTAGATTGCAGCACAGGATGAAATCATTTAGCAGACATGTTAGGAAGGATAGTGAGACTAAATCATCCTATGCTAATATTTGGTAATGTCTGAAGTTAGACATTAGTGTTATTGTTAAAAGGTTATTAAAAATCAATTAGCTAATTTTTTTTTACATGTTTTTATTTTATTGTTAAATCACCACCTAATCTCGACTCTAAATTCTCTGAATATTCACAATATCAGGATTCCGGCATTCGTAAACCTCCATATCGAAAATACCGGTTTTGGTAAAAGGGACTGGTTTTGCGACCCCTTAATTGCTGTAAATTAGGTGGATTTTAAAAATAATTCTCTTTTTTTAATTTCAGAAAACATGTGGTATTATGTTATACCAGGAAAATAACTTGCTCATCCATTACACATGATTCCAAGCAGCTCAAGATATGGAGCTGACACCATCTTGAAATCAACAGTCCACATATATCTAGTTTTGAAATATTATTTAGTAAAAATAAATTGAAAGCAAAACATTCAAACAAAATTCATTGATTTGCTCAATATAAAGCTTGTACCAAGTCATATTCTCTTGAACCAAGTCATATTCCCTTGAGCTTTCAGTCTTAAAGCCATCAATTGGGTATATTTTGTTAGACTAAGGATTTTTTTACATTTAACAAATTTTGTATTGAATTTACAATTAAAATACATGAATGGCCTAATGATCTTTTTACCAGTATAAATTTTGTGTTTAATAATTGGTTTACCTATTTTAATAAATATCCTTAAAATACACATTACTTGTATAACAAATTGTGACATAATGCTAGTTTATCCTGATAAATGATCAGATACTGTAAACTCATGCATTAAAAAGGTTGTTTATTATTGTAACTGTAAGTTAGTGTAAGCAAATGGTTCTTATGTATGTCCTAAAATTTTGTGGGGGATTGATCTGTTTATTACAATGAGGGTTTCATGAATGTAATATTTATGTACTGATGCCGTAATTCTATTGAATTTTGTTGACCAAGTGATAGATATTAGTATTCTTGAATTAAGTTAGTTGCTTTTGTGATGAAAAGTTGTGGTAAACCATGTATTGTCCAATGGGAAACACAAAAAAATAACCAGAAAATAAAATTTTTCTTATAGATCTGGTTTTCTTTTTTTATTTCTTATGTTTGATATAGACATTTTATTTGAAATGACACATACACTAAACTCAATAGATGAAAATGATTAATTATAATTTTTGTACAAAAAGCCATGATAGAAAGAGGGAACAAAATACCCGCTTAATTTATATTTTAAAGGAAACAAATATAGCAGATCTACAAAAGAAAACAATAATTGTTCACAACTTGAATGCTTCAAGTCAGGCGCGTTCATTAAATGCAATTCTTAAAATAAAAGTGAACAACCAAAACCTACATCTGCATTAGGGAGACGCTAATGAGTATGACACATTTGAATGGACATTGAAGCAGCTTTAATAAAAAATATATTCCAAATAACAAAATAAGCCAATCATTAAACAATGACTTGGTTCAACAAAAATTATTATACTATACATAAAAGATATAAATGCATATATATATTGAGGATATTATCTTAAGAGAACTATGGCAACTGGAAACGTTTAAAGCTCCTCCAAAATAATTTTTCTTCAATTTAAAATAAAAATAATTCATGTCATAATGAAGCTGCATATTTACTAGTCATGACTTCATCTCTATTGTCTGCATTCATCCACTGGTACCTTTCTCATGTCTGCATTCACACAACCATGATTTCATGTCTGCATTCACCCATGGAGTACCGGTAGTATTTATGTTTGGCATTATTTTTTTTATTTAGATTGGACTATTTTCAAAAAGGGGACTTTATTATTCTCAGTCACACAAATCACTGGCAGCTCATTATTAGGTTTATACTTATAGAGATATTTATGTAAGTGTATATATTTATATATTATTTTTATTTCAGAAACAAATCTTCGCATCCATTATAACAAGAGCCATGCAAACAGTACACAAGCGTTCAAATTATTTAACTCAATGAAAATTTGAGTTTACTGCATTTTTTGTAGTAAAAAGTTTACAAAGACAGGGTATATTTGTTACCTGTTGTATATATGACATTAAGAATTTGGATATAATTCCAGCTTGATAATCTTTTTTTAAAACTAACAAGATTGAAAACATTTTAAGATAAACACAACTCTTTTAATTCTTTCTCAGTAAAAATGTTCAGCCTTTATTTACCTCTTGTATCAAAACTTGCACATACTAATCAAAAACTACTAAAGTATTTACTTGTTTTGAAAGTTAAGTATTTTGAATAGATTTTCATATTTATTAAAAATGTCACTGATAAGTGAATTAAATTCTGGCCTCCTTAGTTTTGCCATCAATACTCACATTTCTTTACCTCCAAATGTATGTCAGTCAAAATGTATGTACCTCAGTCAAAAAAATAAATTTTTAAATAATTATTTGGCTGGCAAAATTGATTGATGTACCAGTACTCTGATAAAAGCATTCATGGCCATATCTATTATTCCTTTTATAGAACTGCTAATCATTTTAGGTTATTTCATTTTTGCTAAATCAGTCGTAACTAACTATAAAAATTTAAAAGAAAAAGATATGGGGTTATTAAGAGCCTCAGAACCTGTGCTACAAAAAAATAATAATTTTATAACAAAAAGTTTCAATGCATTGATTGGCAGTAGCTTAACACCAACTGAACTTTGACTTACCGCATCCTACTAGACTAATAGATGCTCATCAGTTGATTTAAATAAAAGTTTTCTATTTTATAATTTACCTTGTCAATGACAAATTCATCTTGACTTACACATAAAAGGATAGCACAGCGATGGAACGGATCTCGAACACGCAAATGAATATAACATGTTTCAGTAGCGAAGGAGTTGGTGGCAATTTTGAAGTTTAGAAAAGTTAGATTCTTGCTTAGAGACATGCACACAAAAAAAGTGACAGTTAGCTATATATATCATTAATCACATGACATGACTAAGAACAAAAACCACAAATAGTTTTGTTTCCAATTAACAAGTCTAAATTATGCTGAAGTTTAAGATTTTACAAAAAGCAAATGCAAACTGAAATAAGTGCAAAAATGAAATAATGTCTAGAACGCTTAGCTTGGTTTATATTACCAACAATTCTTGAACCAGATATGATACATTCAGGTACCTGCAGTATTAGTGTTTGATTTGAGAGGAGTGACCCTTGGAATATCTGAGGACCATCAGTTTCATATTGTTTAATTGCTATCATTGTTTGAACAGGGGAGATGGAAGATAAATTTGTTGAATTTTAAGGTCATCTGACTAATGCCTTGGGTGATGTATAAAAGAAATGCTGACCAAGAATATATACAAAACTGATTGTGAAGTAGGTAAGTTCATAAAGAAAGACTTGTGTTATCACAAAGCCTTGACATTAGGCAAATGGAGCCAAAACTTAAATGATCTTGCTTAAACAAATTTCCCGTCAAATTTATTTCCCTCTCCAATAAACTGGCGGAACTAAGTTTTCCAACTTAACAATTTTATTGAGCCACTAAATAGGCTAGGCTAGTTGCATGCCTCAAAGTTAGTATGAGGTTTTAATTCATTTCACATCACTTAATATTTTTGAAAATCTCAATAGGCCCATAAAAGAACTCTTGGTAAACAGAGACAATAAATTGGTTTAAGAATTATCATTACTACGTGTACCCTGCGATCGGTATGGTAGGTCAAGAATAAGACAAATGTAAAGGAAATGTGTGGTGAAGTTGTTGTGATAAGATCTATGGTGAACTATTGTGACTTTTATTTGTGCCAGTCTTGGTTTCTTTGATAAAACCCTGTGATGCTATTTGAGCTGTTTTAGGTCAAGTCTAGAACCACTGTAAATAATGGCTTGAACCAACCAAACAGGAGGCAGCAGTAGAATCAGGACTAAGAATGTCAATATTTAGAAATGGACATTTAAAAATACAAACATTTATAATAAGGATGGACAAAATAGGCAACAAACATTATCTTATTAAAATTTTGTCTTTACATGACACAGTCTGTGACTGAATATGTGACATTTGCTTCAAAAATATATATTTATATTATATATATATATATATATATATATATATATATATGCATGTATAATGTACCAGGTTTGCAGTGCCATTCTCTCATACAAGTATACAAGACCATTTGTAAAGTGCAACTGTCAAATTATGCTTGTTTGACCTGATTCACTGGGATGCTGGCCCTGAACAAGAAACACTCATCACTGAACGCTGGCTCAAAATTCAATGCTTTAGAAATTAGTCTCTTTAACTGCTCATTCCTTACCAATAAGAATTGATTGAATATGCCAGGAAAGCAGAACTTATAAAAAAAAACTAAGTCACAGCAAAAGGAAGAAACAATTATCTCACTTCTGTGTCATCCTTGTAAAGCTTGTCAGCATTCACAATGGAAGATTCAAAAATCATTTTTCATAACATATATTTTATTGGCTTAAATTTCATGGCATGTCCATATTAAATGTATTTTTATTTCAAAGGTAGTTTTTTTTTTTATTTCAAAAGGTGGAATAAATATTTAGTTTGTATGTTATGAATGAGTAATGTCTCCTATCTAGTAACAAGCCCACTTCTCAACACAGATACTATCAAGTTTACACATAGCAAACATCCAGAAAGCATTTATTCTGCAAAACTCAACTGTATCTCAAGACAACACCTCGCACCGAATGCTTCTATATACATATTAGGGGCTGTCTGTTCTAGGGCAGCAAGTCTCATTCTCTTTGAAAGCCATTCCATTAACAAGTTGTTTTCGACCAACAGATTGCAGGATGGTGAGATAGAGTTTCTAGTGGCTTGTGTCAGGCAGACTGAGAGATGCAGGATAGCACCTAATAGTCCAATAGACTTGTCAATCAATGGTCAGAAAGGCTTAATGTCAAGTGGCGATCCGTTTGGCACTCTCTGTGAGTGAGGGGAGAGATGATAGGGATGAAAGGGGGGAAAGCCAATGTATGACATGGGCAGAGCTAGAGGGGACGGGGGAAGGGGATAGGACAAACGAAGAGGGGAAGGGGACAATAGAAATGAGTCCACGGTGTGAGGCGTCAGGCGTCTCATTGGTGGCGGCTGTTGTGGAGAAGATGCAGGGACTTGTGTTGCCGACGAGGTTGCTGTGACAAGACAGAGAGGTTGAATATCAGGCTTCATTTCCATGACCTGGTTGAGGACAGGAGACAGAGGTGACACCATTTCAATCTTGTCCATTATAGCTGAGTTTCTGTGGGAGTCTCGACAGCGTTTAGTTGGCTGGGGGCTGTCCAGAGGCTTGGTAGAGTCAGAATCACATCCAGAGAGTATAGAGGAGTCCATTGTTTGGTTCCTCAGCCCTGAACTATCATCATCATCATCATCATCATCTTCTTCTTCTTCCTCTCCTTCTTCCCCTTCACTTTGTTTATAACGGATGCACTTCTTCTTTCGCCTATAGAAAACACAAAGGATGGGAGGATGGATATTTTAAAATAAAGTTTACTTACAAAGCAATAACTGATTACAGTTATGAAAATTAATTTTTTAAACAAATCTTAAGAGCCCAGCAAAGTATTACTTTACTAATCGAACATGATATCTTACACAACTGAAGACAGTGACATTTTTATCCAATGATTTTAAAACCATCTTTTCAAAATGATGTTCACAGATGGCAAGTAATAATTTGTTATAGATTCTTTCAAATTATGACCAAATTTCATTCTACAATTTCATTATTTATAATCCATGATGTGCATAAAAATTCACCCCATTTAAGTCTGTCAGATAAGACTAGTAACTCCATCTGATATGACTAATCATACCATCAGAACATACAATACTCTAAATGTATGTAATGAAATTGAGCAAAGCTTAGATACAAGGTTATAAATACACAGGTTTTGGTTATAAATAGATGGGCACAAAGTATAACTACAAGGGCATTTGTATAAATACACGGGCATTGATACACTGGCATAGGTATTAAATATTTCAGAGTGAAGCAGACAGGACATGCTTATGAGATTGACATATTTAACACAGGAAGCGAAATCATTGGCATTGGTGGTGTTTGGTGAAAATG